TGAAGTACACAAATAGTACACGTGTAAAATATGTCACGTGTTGCTGTTATTGTACGCAAGCCAGATAATTTATTAGTTTCCTGACAAGTAATATACTAAGGCGGACAATTGAATAAGAAATATTTTTAGAAGAAAAATGGAATCAAGGTGAAAGTTTGCGTAATGTGAAAATATTAGAATACTATTCTTTTACACATTTGTCGCTTCACTGAGGAAAGTTAGAAAAATAAAGGAGCCAATTCAACGTGAAATTCTAGGGGAAATATTATTTTATAAAATCTACTATCGTAACAGACATATTACTGTACATGTTATTAGTAGATATTCATGTTCATTAATATGCCTCACTATTACCATTCTTCAGACGTATCTACTTTTTCAGTATTCTCTTCTAACATAGTAATACATATAACTCTGAGAAAATGAGTAGAAAATTGTTTACCCAAGTTTATTAAATATATTGAATAAAATTATATAACACATCATGTTTCAATTCATATATTTATCAATTATGCCTCACTGAATATGATGTAATATCAGAAATTGTGAAAAGTAAAGGTCTGTTCTTCGTTTACCAAACCTTATTTAATTTCAATTAATTTATTCATCCTTGGAAATGTTTTATCAAAATAAACTACTGTATGAAACAAAATATGTAATATGATGTATCCTCTAAAGATAAATACAAAAGTTTCATTGAGTTTGTAATATACAGAGTGTATACGTGTATTCAGAGGAAATACAATATTCTCTCCACAATTAGTTTTCTTCATTGTACTAACATCGATCCGCTTATGCTCTTAATGCACATTCAATATTAAATGCGCCCGCGTAATGCAAAATTGTATTTTGTATGTATGATTATTATATAAACCTACTGTATACATATGGAAGCCAGTAACATTATATTTCCCCCGTTATATACCTGTATCTAATACGATTCTCCGTCCGTATACGAACAAAATAGTGGTCGGGGTCTCGATTTCATAATATTGCGTACAATGTATTAACCGAATTACGTAGTGGATACACGAAAATTCATCAGTTTCCACATAACTTAATATTATGATATCGATTTAAAATAACTGATGGAAAATTGTTCTCTGTAAATCTTAAGAAAGGTTTAATACTCATATTCACTAGAAATATATTTTTCAATTATCATAATTTTTCATTATCTTCTTAATTGTACTTTCCCATAATACCAGTTTAATTTTTAATTCGCCGATAAAAATCCTTCTAAATTCGTTCATAAATCGTTTAATTTATAATATCCAATAGAAAAGATTGTAAAACTAGTTGCTTTAAAACGAAAAAGTATCGAAGTACTTTGTTTGCTAGCCACTCGCCGGTCTCGAATAAAGAAATCTTATCTGCGATCCATCATCAGTCTTGAATTGTGGAAGAGTATCCCGAAATGTTTATTGAAAACTATCGGGAACTGTTAACGCACTTTACATTGTGTTATTCGTTGCTAAGAACAGCTATCGAAAATTCTACGTTCAAAATTGTAATTATATAAATTGAAAATAAAAAAAAATGCCTCGAATAATCGAAAAAGCACGATAAAACCTTTTCCACGAAATTCGTAAATTGAAAATACAAAAGAGAAAGAAAAAAGGAGTCAACAAGTTTCAATGTTGGTTTTATAACCTCTACGTACTATTTTCATTAATATCTGTAGCAATAATTTTGCTTCGAGCGTATTAATCATAAACGTAGTAGAGAGCGCCGAAATTGTAATGCTGGCAATATTTTTACTTTCGAGAATTGCGAGGTCATTAAATAATGACAATATCATCCAAATAAATTACACACACATTACCGAGAAAAAAGTCACGGTTGTGATAACATTTTATGAATATATAAGCAAAAGGAACAAGTATAAAATCACATGTACATCCTCACCAATCTACATATAACCTCATACTACGCACATACAACAAGTACGGTGACGTTTGCGTATTGCAAACATGTCTTCCATCCATTGATTATATTCCCACCATTTTACGTATAATCATCTTCACATATAATCCATATAATCAACATACATGATATTTACACGAGAAATATATATATATATACACATATAAGGAAACCAGCGTTAACAGATTTCAGAGAGCAACCGGAGTAAGGTTATAATTTCGATAGCGGAAAATTCAATAAAAATCGAAGGAACTAGGTAATGTCATTTTGGCGCCTTGCAGTATATTTTCCGTCGAAGATATGGCGCACACAGCAAAAACAGACGCTTAAGAGACGCTTACGCGTACACATACTGTGCATGGCACTCCTCTTTTTCCCTGTTTTTGCACACACCGACTCAATTGCTTGAAAACGAAATAAAACTACGAGCGTTGCGAACCGTGCATAGATGTCCATTATCTGAAAAATGGTAACGTACCGAACCGTGCATACGCGACTGCGGAGATTATGTACATATAACTTTCGATGCTCGGAGAATTGGACGTGAGCGGGAAATCAAAAGCACCACAATATGTTGTAAATCGGGCCATAGATAACAAACTGATGACTAAAAGTCCCCCTTATTTCCCATGAGTTTTCTAAGTGCACGATGCTCACTCCCGTAATCTACGCGTTAAGCAGCAAATTATTCGTTATAAAACCATAACGGGCGCTATAGTGCAAGATCCCATATATGCCTATGCATGGCGTAAGTAGCCAAACAGAGGCCGATCGTACGCGGGCTATAGCCTTGACGGTTGATTTATGATGAAACACCCGTAATAGAAGCCACGCTAACATTTTACGTTTCGAATCATGAATATCTATGTTTTCACAATGGTAAAAACTGTCACGCGATATTTCCTCACGTATCAGCACATAAACGATAACAAGGTACACGAGAACCTTCTTGCTAAACACATCTCCGGGCAGCCATTTGCTATGACGGTTGTGTAGAAATAAAAGGTATATGCACGATACGCAGCACAATAGCACTTCACCAAATGTTTGCCCGTATTACGCGTATCATACAACGATGATGGCCTAGTAATCAATTGTTAGTCGCTGAAATCTGTCAACGCTCGGAAAGAAAAATATTTAGATTTTTCTTACCTGGACGGTCCTCTACAGCTAAAAGGATTCTCAGCTTCGAATATCGCGACCCCACGCCACTTGTGCGGCATATGAAAGTGTATGGGGAAAATCTGTATTACCATTGGCTTATTTCAGATAAGCCGCAAAAAGTAAGCCAATCAGCATCAACCTTTTATGTTTTGAAGCGTTTCTTTTTACCCCCCCAATAAAATGTCTGCTGGCGAAAAGGGCGGGAAAAATCATGCGTGGAAAATCGCCTATAGCATATCGTTCGTTTCACTCTGAACGATATTTGTTTCGTGTAACGGGATAAATAAATTTTTAACAATAAAACTTACTTAATAGTTTCGGCTTGACTGACCGTCTATCGCGAGGAATAAATGATTTAAATGATTAAGGTTAGCGTTTATTATTAATGTAGGTGGCGCTAGATTCTGTAAGCTAAATTTAAGGCGCAAATTACAGTACCGCCAACTTGATGCAACCAGTACTTATAGTATTTCGTATCACTTGTAGGAATAAACATTTCCGTACATATTATTTCGAAAACACTTCGAGTTAAAAATATAGAACTGTAATCACCATCGTCACCTCGTTAAATAGAATGTCTGACAGTATCATGTTTTAAGTAACATTCGAATAAATTACGTACATTGAAACACGGTTTTTATGATAGATTAATAAAAGAATATTTTTTTTATAAGGTTACACGAAGTACAACTCTAGAACATATTCGTTTTATATTGCAAACTTATCTGTAACGATTTTATAGATAATATATGTTACGGGTGTATTACATAATAATAATTTATAAAAAAATATATAATTCGTATTATATGCAGAATATTAATTATAGATGAAATAATTCAATATTACGTTTTACATTTAATACACATGACGAAATTTTTATTGTAGCTTCTTATTATAACATTCTAATTACAATACTTTGGACATAACGCATAATTTTGCATAGCGGTACATATTGCAAAAATATCAACATGTTTTCAATAATTCCATTTATAATCCTGTAACAGTAAATACATTGATTTTTCTACGTAAATACTTGCGGTGTAAATATGCAACATATGGATAAGAAATAACTAAGATTAACAATTCTACGTATCCTCAAATTTAGGATGGAAGTATTTGCCCAGTTTTTTTATTGTTTACTTCTGTACGATAGATAAATTACAAATCGTATGTATATAAAAAGCATCACTAATTCTCCTTTAATTATAGGTAGTTCCAACGTTAGGGTTACATCTACGAACTTCGTAATAAGAGAGAACTGATGAGAAATTTCGTAGAAAATATAAATAATTCTTTGTACTAACAAAAAGGGACCTATAAATTGTAAAAAACGTGGAAGTGAAACTATTTTATCATCCGTCGATGATAGCATGTGAGTTGGTAGTACTGAATTTTCTTGAATGAGAATGCATCAAAGTGAAACCATAAAAATAGTTTTAAAGAGGTGAAACTACTATCCAAACCTTTACTGTTCGCGCCCTCGAATCGAGTGATCTTAAAACAACTGCGAGTCGACGTTACCGCGTCTTTGCTGACGTTATCTTCATTACGCTCTACAGACCACTGAATAAAAAAAAACACGAGAAGAATCGAAAGCACTCGAAACGCGGGAACATTTGAAAAGTGATACTGTACGAAACTGTATTTAGAAATTATACGGATTTTTATGAACTCAATTTCATTTAAGAAATTACTTTCATCGTCTCACACTTACAATTTAATCTTTCCATATATTTAAAAATATTGAAAAATTCGATTTATTCACGGGGTACAGCAACTGCGCACTTGACATCGCAGGGAACCGATGCTATATTCATGAAACTCGATTTAATCGTTGCAAGTAAATACATGCAACGCATCATGGTGTTCCGCAGTTATATTCATGGAGCACAGCTTCTGTGGGCATGCGCACCAAAGACTGGTTCTCGAAAAACACCGGAGTTCGCCTTCGTAAGAACACCACTGTATTGAGCCGTGTACATGTACCAAAACATTCGTATATGTATGCGCGCCTTTACGCAGATCGTGCGAATCGTTGTAGTTGTGTAAATAACAAAACGCGGTGAAGCTGCTGAAGTATCGTACCAAATAGCATTGAAGGAATCCGTAAAATCAAAAACCCGTTGCGAAGGAAATCGTAACGTTAAACGTTTCTGTTACGGCAAAATCCACGGAACACTTGTTGTCGTAGTGTACACATAAAAATAACTCGCGTGTTAAATCGTTCGAGGGAAAGAAAGTGATACGTTATACGACATCGTTGAACGACGAGGTGCCTGTAATACGCAAACTCTATTATTTAAATTATCGATTTGCAAACTTGAATCTTTGGAATAAACGATAGACTATACGTCGATTATCGAAAGTCGTGTTTCGTTGTGAGCAAGGAAGTGAATTTCGTTGATAAATCGTGTTCGACAAATGAAACTCGACTGGTAATAATGAGTGTGAAAAGCAGACATCGCCGAGTGTATTTTGCCCTGGGACTCGCCGTTTTTTGACGCAAACATATACGCCGTGACATTCCGAGGTTGTTAAAGTTCTACATACTCTTCATACCGATTTAGTTGATGTTAAGAATAAAAAAAAAATGAATGGATTCAGTACCGGTGAAGAAGATTCCAGGGGAGCTGCTGATCAAATTTGTTGCCTTGTAGATGAGGGTGAACGATGCACTCGGCCAGCTGGCAACGCTTCTTACAGCAAACGTATTCAAAAAACTGTAACTCAACGGCGATTGAAACTTAATCTCGATCAAGTGGTAAGATTAACAGTTGCCAAAAGTTGCAATAAAAGATACTCACATCGCTTGCTTTCTTGACATTTTTTCGTACAACTTTGTAGCATTACACTTGAATTAATTATTCGATGTTTATGGAGTGCAGTGGAACTCCAATATTCGTAGAAAAGAAATTTAAAAAATTCTTTATGGACGATTAAAGTTAATATTTAACGAATAAGATTGTAGATACCTGTTTTTCTTTTTTGTTGATGTTTAATAATTTTATAAATATACGTATAGTATTTTGAATATTGTACGTAGTGTTTTTATCTGATCTCGTAGTTTTATATGACTGTAAAAGTGAATGTTTTAGTATTATACACTGCTTATGCAATAAATACACTTGTTTACATAGTATACTTATCATTTGTTAATGATTGTTTCACTTGGATAGTCTTACTGTGAAAGGAAATGTTTTAATATTGTGATTTTAACATTTTAATATTATGATTGTCATAATATAACTGATTTGTCGATAGGCACGTCATATATACATTTGTGATTATCATAAGCAAGTAATCCAATGTGCAAGATCTAAACAACAGCAACAGCGAAGACGTAAAGATTCTGAAGAAGATTCAGGGGAAACAGATAATGATCTTCCAGAGGTTGACCTTTTTCAATTACAAGTTGGTACATTAAGACGGTATAAGAGGCACTATAAAGTTTCCACAAGACCAGGTTTAAATAAGGCTCAATTAGCCGATGTAAGTATAATAGTTAATACTTTAAAAAAAAGATTATAAGATATAAAGATATGTAACACGTAGATTGTATTTAGATGGTAAACAAATTGCATATTTTTTATTTCAGACACTTATGAAGCATTTCAAAACCATACCTGTAATTGAAAGAGAAGCATTAAGTTTTTTCATGTACACAGTAAAAACAAATGCAAATAAATTGGATCAAAAGAATGGTTTAAGTAATGATACTACATAGCCTAGGCTGCACTTTATGAGTTTTGTTATTGTAATAATACTTTACTAGTGAGATCAAAAGTATGTGTATGGATTTTTACTTGTTAATAGGCATATGTATTTTGTAAGATCTATGTATAAAACATGATAAAATATATTATGTATAACACTAAATCTTGAAAGTTTAATTTAATTATATTTATAGTTATTAATATATTGCTTAATAAAAATGTAAATGTATTAGTTTAAAAAAGAACATGATTAAATGCAATGTATAAAACTATATTTCGATTAGTTAATTTTATTAATTTACATTTATAGCATTATATCTTTCGAATCCAACATTTCAATTGTTTCCTCTTCACTGTCTCCACTCATTTCTAAAAGAACAATAAATGATTTATGTTTTATACATAAAGGATATGAAATAAATACAAATTATTGATAGACTATGCAATTTATAAAATCATACCTGCATCATCCAACACCTTTTTTTCTTTATTCACTTCAGCTGTAATTTCAATGTCACTTGCTTCTTCTTCCTCTGAGGAATTTGACATGTTCCATGTACTAGGTCCACCTTCACCAAACGACATGCCCTGTAAAATTTATTTTGTGTAACAGACAGTGACTCTATTGTATTTTAATTGTGCATATACTTACAGTATCTATTATTAATTCAGCTGAACCTTCTCCAGGTTTTATAATTTTGAAGTTGTCATTTTCAACCTCTTCTGAACCAACTTCTGTTTAAATTATACAATATGAAATTCAAATTAAGTTTTATAGAACAAAAAAAAGATTTAAATAAGTAATTGTTAAAGTTTTACCATCAGTTTCTATTTTATCTAATACACCCCATTTGCGTAGTTTAATGCTAATACAGTCATTATTAATCATGGTTAATTTCTTCATTGTTATACATTCTTTAAAACGATTTGTATTGCGGTCATCTTTCTTATACCTGTGTATATACAATATAGATTAGAACATAACAAATTATAAAGAATTGTATTTTAATACATAATTCAATCTAAACCTTGCTTCCACATCGGAGGCTACTGCTTCTTTGATCTGTTGTACTAATGTAGTAGCATAATTTGCTGCATAATTAGAAACAGCTGATATAACATCCTCCACAGTCATGGTTTTTGTCAGATAATTAAAATGCAAACTGCACACTTCTCTATAAGAATTTATACCAAGTGTGAGCTGTGCTACCCCAACTCTTTCTTCTAAATATGTAGGATCCATGATTGTATTTCCACTACAGAATAAAATGTCATTGGAAAATATATTCTTCTTAAAGGATTTAGTAAATTAAAAGTACTAACCTTTCAAATGTAATAAAAGATACGCAAACTGGATAATGATACAATGTTAAAGGTAGAGGATCTTTTTCAGAGAAAGAATGAATTATAATATCTTCACCGGTTGATGTTACATCTGGCCTATGAAAATGTGAAAGTGCTGCCAATGTTGCAATGGAGGCACAGTCTATTAAATTTCCATCATGATTAATAATATTTATGTCAACTCTTAAATTCCATACCTGTATCATGTAAATTATTTAAACTAATTGAATTTTTAACCCTGATTATGTATGTTTAATTTTAATTTCTTAAATGGCAGTGTGCATAATCAGAACTAATAAATTTTTCACAAAATTGCCATAAACATGATTGTAAAAGATGCACTATGTATATATAAAGTAAATATAATGAATTTATAAAACCTACTATTTAATCCCTCGAATTGAAATGACAAGTCCCACTTGCACATGCTCTCAGCGCAAAATTGGATTTTGCAAATTATTTTACTACTGTTAATATTAAATATTTCTCTTAGTATTTAAATAATTACTAACCTTTTTATCGGCTACTATACATAATGATTCCAAATCAATACATTTTGAATCTTTAAAACATTTGTCAAGCTGTCTGCTGATTAATATTGAAGCTTCAGATTGTCTATTACCATCAAAATGTTGTGCTGCCAATGGATTAAGTTCAACATTGATGTGCAATATTCCTTCATTGGGACGTGAAGTTTTAGGCTGTTGAATATCACATGATACTTGTGCTACTACTCTGTAACAATGATTTATACTTTCATATAATATATTGTATATATATGTAACATATAAGTATTCAATGTAATTTGTATATATTGATATTAATATTAATTTATTCATAATGAATTATATTAGTTATTACAAGTAATACTAAATATATAAAGATTAACATACTTTATTACTATATTTTTATTGTTCATGCTAAGATTTAAATTAAGATAAATGATCATTTTAATTCTACCTAGTTTGACCAAGTGACACCATACAGCTACCCCAATTAGATCCGAAATAAATTTTAACTGGCCGTGCTTCCAATAAATTTCTGCCATCTAATCGCTAAAAATATTTTCATAAATTAAAGGTATTCAATTATTTGTACCTTTTCGAATAAAACAATCAAATAAAAATACTTACCGTTCCACGTTCCACTGACTTATTTACGAAGTTTTTTTCACAATTTGTTAACAATGATTCTTTCATGATTTTGTATATTATTTATACATTAAGCACGTGGGTATTCAAAAAGAAAACAATACTGAGGTAGATATAACCTTTTACACAACTGTCAATGCGTAATTCGTCATTTAAAAATCATTTTATCGTACTTATGATCATTAATAATATAAATTATTTGATCTTTATACCTTAAATTATTACAATTAAATAAAAGTCTAAAATCTTCCTAATATTGATAATTGACATAGGTTCCTACATGTGTCAATATATTAATCGAGATAAATTACGAAAGAATCGATCTTTAACTTTACAGTTTATTCAGATAAACATCCACATTAAACGTTAATGTGTATTATTATCAAATGTTAAAAATAAAATTACAAAATAAATAAAAATAAATTACATGTAAATAAGTTCTTTTTATCAAATTTAATCTAATTATCCTAAATACAACACCAATTCACATGTATATATTTCAACTTTCTAATCAAT